AATATTCAGGTTTTGAGCAGAAGAGGCAGACGCAAGACACAGCCAGAAAGCGGAGGGGAAAGAGAGCAAGACAGCAAGAACCACTCACCACCACTCACCACCACTCACCACCACCACACCACTCCCCACTCACTCTGTGCTTGAACGCCCTCCCCATGAACACAGGCACAAACTTCAATGCCAGAGTACCGCTGCGGATGGCAGCTCCACCACTCATCACCACTCACAACCACTGAAACTCACTCTGTGCTTGAACGCCCTCCCCACCCCATGAACACAGGCACAAACTTCAATGCCAGAGTAGCCCTGCGGATGGCAGCTTGCAGCTCCACCAGCAGCGTAGCACCACCACCACTCACCACCACTCACCTCACCACCACTCACCCTATAGCTTGCACCACCACCACCCACCACCACCACTCATCACCACTCACCACCACCTTCCACCACTCCCCACTCACCCTGTTCTTGAAAGCGCTCCCCATGAAGACAGGCACGAACTTCAACGCCAGAGTGGCCCTGCGCACAGCAGCCTGCAGCTCCTCTGCCGAAACCGGCTCGTCGTTGAGAAACTTCTCAGCAACTTCGTCGTCCACCTCTGACAGGTGCTCGATCAGCTCGTGCCTCTTCTCCTCCGCCTGCTCCTTCAGGTTGGCTGGAATCCCTTCCTCTCTTCGCACCTTCTCCCTGCAGGTAAGGCCACAGGGGCACACAGAGCAGGGGCGTACAGACAAGAGCCGCGTGTAAGCCACCTCCGACAGGTGCTCAATCAGCTCGTGTCTCTTCTCCTCCGCCTGCTCCGTTAGGTTGGCTGGAATCCCTTCCTCTCGGCACACCTTCTCTCTGTGGGTAAGGGAAAGCCAAGCCAAGGCAAAGCAAAGCATCTATGAAATGCGTTCTCTCCTCCGCCTGCTCCTTCAGGTTGGCTGGAACGCCTTGCTCTCGCCGGCCCTTCTCCTCTGCCTGCTCTTTTAGGTTGTGCGGTATCCCTTCCTCTCGTCGCACCTTCTCCCTGCACATGGGGGTAAAGCAAGGAGGAGGCAAGCAATCAGCTCGTGCCGTTTTTCTCCTCCGCCTGCCCCTTGTGGTTGTCCGGTATCCCTTCCTCTCTGCGCATCTTTTCCCTGCACATTGGGTCACAGGGGCACACAGAACAGGGGCGTACAGAGCAGAGCCGAGCCAAAGCCACCTCTGACAGGTGCTCTATCAGCTCGTGCCTCTTCTCCTCGCTATGAACATACTCGCTATAAACACACCCACTGTTAACATACACGCAATAGACATACCCGCTGGCGCCGTCAAAGTAAATGGAGGACATGGAGACGAGGTCGACTAGACCCTCTAGATCTGACTCCAAGCCGATGGGGATATGCGATACTCAATACAAACATACTCACTGTAACAAACATACCCGCTGGAGCCGTCAAAGTAGATGGATGACATGGAGACGAGGTCGACTAGACCCTCTAAGTCCGACTCCAAGCCAATGGGAATCTGATTTTGATGTGGGAGAGAGAGGGGACACAGGACGAGGGGAAAACAAGAAAGAAGGGAAAGAGGATGGCGGGAGGAAAGGAGGGAACAAGGAAGCAAGGTGAATTCCCAGTCGAGTCAACGGTCTTGCATGCCCTTTGGCTCGGAAGAATGAGGAGATGCCCTTTGACTCGGAAGAATGAGGAGATGCCCTTTGACTCGGAAGAATGAGGAGATGCCCTTTGACTCGGCCCTCTAGGTCCGGTTCCATTTTAATGGAGATCTGATGAGGAAGATGAACGAGAGGGAGACGAAGGAGGGAGAATTGGAGAAAGGACGGGAGAAGGGAAACAGGAAGGGAGACCAGAAGGGAGCACCAACCTCCACCGCACAGCACCCACCGGCACAGCCGCAGTGTTGAGCTTCAGCTTGGACCACAGAGCCCCCACCACCTTCCACGGGCCTCCCAGCCTGCCTGCCCCCTTGGATCAACGCTACAATACACACACAACACCAAATACAGCAGCACAGCACCCACCTCCACCGCACTGCACCCACCTGCACCGCAGCAGCGTTGAGCTTCAGCTTGGAGCGCAGAGCCCCCACCACCTTCCACGGGTCTGCGCCTGTGCGATCAAGCTTGTTAATGAATGCGAGACGAGGCACACTGGGGGAGAGAGGGGAATGGAGGGTGGGAGGGTAGAGTGAGAGAGGGTAGAAAGAGGATTGCATGAGGTGGGGAGATCACCCACCCACCACCTTCCACGGGTCTGCTCCTGTGCGATCAAGCTTGTTAATGAATGCAAGGCGAGGCAGGGTGGGGAAGGAGGGGGACGGGGTTGTGGGAAGAGGGTAGAAAGAGGGTAGAAAGACGGCAGAAAGAGGGTAAGAGAGGAAGGAAGCTAACCCATCCACCCACCACCTTCCACGGGTCTGCTCCTGTGCAGTCAAGCTTGTTAAAGAGGGCAAAAACGGGGTAGAGAGAGGGGAACGGGGGGTGGGAGGGTAGAGTGAGCGCAGTATGAGTGGGGAGGATCACCCACCCACCACCTTCTATGGGATGGGTCTGTCTGCTCCTGTGCGGTCAAGCTTGTTAAAGAGGGCAAAAGCGGGGTAGAGAGAGGGTAACGGGGGGTGGGACGGTAGAGTGAGGGCAGTATGAGTGGGGAGGATCACCCACCCACCACCTTCTTTCTATGGGATGGGTCTGTCTGCTCCTGTGCGGTCAAGCTTGTTAATGAATGCGAGACGAGGCATGATGGTGGAAGGACGAGGCACACCGGTGGAGGGACAGGAGGGAAGGGTAGGAAAGGAAGGATACTCACCAACCCACTACAGCCAACGCTGTGGGTAATTCTTGAGAATTCTCATGAAACCCTTATCCCACATCGCCCCTAGCCCCCGCATAAGACCTCGAATGAAGCCGGCTGGGGCACAATGTAACCCATGCTGCACAGCAGCAAGAAAAATCAACCTGCGGCAGCACCCTCGCCCTCGCATTCTTGAACCCGAAACCTCAAAACCCTGAATCCTGAACCCTGCATGCAGCAGTAGCTGTACAGCATCCTAAACCTTGAACCTCAAAATCCTAAACATTGAATACACCCTAGACCTTGAACCCCTAAACCCTGAAACTTGAACCACTAAACCCTGAAACTTAAAGCCCCAACCACTGAACTTTGAACCCCGAAACCTAAATCCTTGAACCCCTAGATCCTACACCCGGCAACCCTGAACCCTATAACTTGAACCCCTAAACCCTATTCTCAACCCCAAACCCCAAACCTTGAACCCCTGAAACCCAAACCTTTAACTCCAAAACCCTGAACACCTCAAGCATCCTGTCCCTTGCTTCCACCTCATCTCAGGACTAAACCCTCCACCCTGGCACAAACCCTGCACTGAACCCTTAAACCCTGGAGAGAAGAGAGTTTTGAACCCCAAATCCCTGCCCACCCACCTGTATCGCCTCATCTGCCGGTCGATGGTGATTGACTGGCTCTGCACGCACCCAACGCTGCAGAGCACCAGAACAGCCCCGTCCGGCACCCATGGGGGGGACTAAACCCTGGACCCAGCATAAACCCTGCACTGAGCCCCTAACAACCCTGGAGAGAAGACAATAATGAATCCCGTAGCGCACCTGTACCGCCTCATCTGCCTGTCCACAGTCATTGACTGGCTCTGCACTCTGCCCACACTGCACAGCACCAGAATAGCCTCGTCCAGGACCCTCATACCTGATCCCCATAGCTTCACCCACCCACATGTATCGCCTCATCTGCCTGTCGACGGTGATCCACTGGTTCTGCACGCCTCTCACACTGCACAGCACCAGAATAGCCCCGTCCAAAACACTCATACCTGATCCCCATAGCCCCACACACCCATCTGTACCTCTCCCCACCCACCTGTATCGCCTCATCTGCCTGTCGACGGTGATCGACTGGCTCTGCACTCCTCCCACACTGCACAGCACCAGAATAGCCCCGTCCAAGACACCTCACCCTTAGAGTAAATCCTGACCTGATAACGAGCCTGACAGCCCCACCTGTACCGCTCCTCACCCACCTGTATCGTCTCATCTGCCGGTCCACAGTGATTGACTGGCTCTGCACGCCCCCAACGCTGCACAGCACCAGAATAGCCCCGTCCAGCACTCTTAAAGCCCGCTCCACCTCGATGGTGAAATCCACGTGGCCTGGTGTGTCGATGATGTTCACCTGTTGAGCACAAAAAAACAGGTAGAAACAAGTAAAGCAAAAGTGGGAGACAAGGGTTGGTTTGGTTGGGACGCCCCCATCCGTCCGGAACTCTTAAAGCCCGCTCCACCTCAATGGTGAAATCCACGTGGCCTGGTGTGTCGATGAAGTTCACCTGTTGAGAACAAAAAACACAAGAATGACGAGAAAGTGGGAGAAACATGTTTGGTTAGTACAAACCGTCCAGCACCTTTGAGATGTTTACATTGCTACTTTGATTGAGTCGCCCCAAACCTCACCTGGTGGTCGCCCCAAACCTCACCTGGTGGTCGCCCCAAACCTCACCTGGTGGTCGCCCTAAACCTCACCTGGTGGTCGCCCCAAACCTCACCTGGTGGTCGCCCCAAACCTCACCTGGTGGTCGCACCAAACCTCACCTGGTGGTCGCCCCAAACCTCACCTGGTGGTCGCCCCAAACCTCACCTGGTGGTCGCCCCACATGCAGTGTGTTGCTGCCGACTGAATCGTGATCCCCTTCTCCCTCTCCAAATCCATTGAATCCATTTTCGCGCCCACACCGTCTCTTCCTCGCACTTCATGGATCTCGTGGATGCGCCCCGTGTAGAACAGCACTCTCTCCGTGAGAGTTGTCTTTCCGGAGTCGATATGTGCCGATATGCCGATGTTGCGGATCTGGCAATGGGGAGAAACGGAGCAGTATGCGGAAGGGGAGGAGGGGAAGGGAAGGACGTGTGTGGATGCAATGCGCCTCGCTCTGTGAGGCTCGTCTTGCCGGAATCGAAATCGATGTGCGCTGATATGCCGATGTTGCGGATCTGGAATTTAAGGGAAGAGGAAGAGGAAGAGGAAGAGGAAGAGGAAGAGGAGGAGGAAGAGGAGGAGGAGGAGGAGGAGGAGGAGGAGGAGGAGGAGGAGGAGGAGGAGGAGGAGGAGGAGGAAGAGGAAGAGGAAGAGGAGGAGGAAGAGGAGGAGGAGGAGGAGGAGGAGGAGGAGGAGGAGGAGGAGGAGGAGGAGGAGGAGGAGGAGGAGGAGGAGGAGGAGGAGGAGGAGGAGGAGGAGGAGGAGGAGGAGGAGGAGGAGGAGAAGAAGAAGAAGAAGAAGAAGAAGAAGAAGAAGAAGAAGAAGAAGAAGAAGAAGAAGAAGAAGAAGAAGAAGAAGAAGAAGAAGAAGAAGAAGAAGAAGAAGAAGAAGAAGAAGAAGAAGAAGAAGAAGAAGAAGAAGAAGAAGAAGAAGAAGAAGAAGAAGAAGAAGAAGAAGAAGAAGAAGACGAAGAAGAAGAAGAAGAAGAAGAAGAAGAAGAAGAAGAAGAAGAAGAAGAAGAAGAAGAAGAAGAAGAAGAAGAAGAAGAAGAAGAAGAAGAAGGGAGCAGCAAGGGGGGGAATGGGAGGGGGTGAGCAGAAATGAATTTCTCGACCCCTCAAATGTGAAGGAAAGGGGGGAGGGTATGGAAGATATGCGAAATTCTTATGCACAACCACCCCCACCCGGGACCCCTCAGGTTCGCCCTATACTGGGGCTACAGTCACACCGGATGGCGCCTCAGAAGGTGCATTCCCAGATATGTTTCTTCTGAGGCACCTTCTGAATCAACTCAAAATCACCAGTGGCTGCAGGCAATCCGAGTGCAATGATGCAATCGAAAACCGACTCTGGTGACGGGTCAGGCAGACACGTCTCTCTATGCTCTCGCGCCCAATCCTCTCACCCCCTCATCCTTCTCTAAACCCAATCCCCAGTCCCTCATCCCTCACCCTCTCACCTTCTCATGGGCCTTCGCGCCACGGCTCCCTCCCATCCTCCTGCGCGCTTGCAGGCAGCCTGCATCTGATTTCTGAAGCGCACACTTTCTCTGAGAAGAAAGAACCCCCACCAATTCCCTCAGCCCTCACCTTCTCTGTGCTCTCGACCCCCATTCCCTCACCCCCTTACCTTCTCCATTCCCTCCCGCTAACGCTCTTTCCCATCCTCCCACGCGCTCGCAGCCAGTGTGCAGCTCGCAGCCAGTGTGCAGCTCGCAGCCAGTGTGCGTGCAGCTGATTTGTCATAGTGAAGTCCATAACTGCGCAAACGTCTCCGCTCAACTCCCTCACCGTCTCACTCAAATCTCCATGGTCTCGCGCCCAAACCCCCTTACTTTCCTCATGCTCCATCCCAATTCCCTCTCGCTCTAACCTTCTCCATGCCTTCGCGCCACGGCTCCTTTCCCTCCTCCGGGGCCCTCGCAGTCTGCGCGCAATTGATTTTGCAGGAAACCTCCCATACCAGGACCGAAACAGGCAACGTCTCCGCGTCTCACTCACCTTCTCCATGCCTTCGCGCCACGGCTCCTTTCCCTCCTCCGGGGCGCTCGCAGCCTGCGACGCATACCGCCTCACTCCCGCTCCTGCCACATCCGAGCCTAACGCTGGAGGTTCGACAAACCGAACCCTTCCTCCGGAAGCAAAAGCAGCGGTTTGTAGCGCCGGTAAAAGTTTCGCACCGTGATGAATTGCCCACGATTCCTGGAGAGGGATTAAGCTTGGCGCGCTGCAGGTGCTTCGCGAAAACAGGGCGGAAGCGTGCGCGGGACCAACGCGACGATCTGAGCCGTTGGATCTAACACCGCCGCGCCGTGAGGCGAATCGGACGGCAGAGAGGAGCAGGTCCCTGGATCGGCCACGTGCCATGGTGACGTGTCAGGTGAGAGGCTAATCGGGGATGATCAGGAGGTACGAACGGAGGGAGGAAGGGATGCCGACGCGTTATTCTCAAAGGATCTCGTTTTACGGCGTAGGGATTCCGCGACGGTGCTTCGGTACGAACGATCAGTGCAACGGGAGGTGGGATACGCCGCGGTGATGATAGGTTGCTAAAGGTACTTTCGCAAACGAAGATGGCGATCGATCAGAGGGCGAGCGACGAGTGATCGGACGGTGGTGGTGCACAGGAAGAGGAATGGACAGTCTGGATTCGCAAATGCAGTGGTGTGAGGTGGAGGATAGACCGATCAACGGCGATCCAGCAGCCGCGCGTGGCGGAACAGCGAGGCTGAATCCCCACAGAGGTTGAGATGACCAAAACGGAAACAGCACCGTGGAAGCAAACTGGATGAGAGTAGAGTGGAGCTTGAAGAAAAGAGGCAAGGGTTGAGAGGGGGTGGGACGCTGCGTGTTTCTTGATTTGTTTCACCCATTAAAAGTCAAACCTTTCAATAGTTACAGTCTCCGCTTTTCATCTGTCTGTTCCGCTGCTCGACTATGACTAAAACAATCAACAAAAATGGGTGCGAAATTTGACATCTGAACTGAAATTTCTACTTCTTGAATACCTCTTTTCAGAAAACCTCATAAGCATTCCAGCATCGAAAAATGGGGCTCGGTACAACAGACCTACCATGAGGTTGACAGGGGTTCTGCGAGGAAGGAGCAGAGCAGAGAGAGGTTTGGAAGCCGAACTGCCTGGCTTGGAAAAAGGTTCGGACACTCTGGCTTGGAACCAAACGTATTCACCGCCAGAAGCATGTCATTGGCCAAGCGACCCAAAGGCTTGGAAGCGAGGAACTCGCTATAGAATCCCAGAACGAAGAAGCGACGAAAGGATTCATTTATAATACTTAGATTGTATCCGGCTAAATATGCTGAAAGGTTGTATTTTAGTTCCATTCCAACCAGGCCACACTCTAGAAAGGTTGATGGATGGTGGTGGTGTATACTTGGATGCCTGGGTTGCTGAAAGATGTGAACAAAATGAACCAATATTTAGTTGAAGAGAGGCACTCTGGGTTGGTATACTATATCGTCATACCCCGGATATACCCCCAGGTGGGGGTATAAAAAAACCTGGAAAAATGGTGGGTGGGCTTATAATGTGGCTTTTTTTATAACCCCATGGGGGAAATAAATGACAATTACAGAATTTTTTTTAGGGACATAAGTGTCAGAATACTCAAGGACCCGTGCCAAGAGCAGACTCATCCCCGACGGACGGAGGACAGTCAGACTCAGACTCAGCAACAAGACTAGCGGCGTAGTCGAGACGACAGGCGGCAGCAAAGTCAACAAGCTCAGCAACTAGGGTAGACGCAGCAACGGACTCAAACGAAGGGTCAGTGACAACAGTGGCTAGAAGACGCGTGACAGAAAGGACTGGCGGCACAAACTAAGTCAGACTCAAGGTCCGGACCGTTAGCAAGAGAGGACGCAGGAGGAGACGGCAGGGGAACTTATAGTGGAACAGAGGAAGGACGAAGTACCATAATATGAGTGTCGGGGACAGGAGGAGGACGCGGACGAGGAACAGCGCGATCAGGCGAGGAAGGACAAGACTCAGGCTCACGACGCTCTGTAAGAGAGTATGTCTGCTTAGCGTAAGGAGAAGGAGCAGGCAGTGGGGAGTCTGGTTGTAACTGTGGCTGCGACTGGTGAGGCGGTGGATACAGAAAACGAGGAGTAAGGCCTGTAGAAGACGGGAGACTAAGAACCTGGCGAAGGACTGAGCTAGGTGGCGACAGAGACGACGGCGGCAGTAGAACGAAAAAAAGTCGCCGCTGCACAGTCCCTCCAGCACCAGTACCGCCAGCTCCATCACCCCCAGCGCCAGCACCTCCAGCTCCAGGCTCTCCAGCTCCAGCGCCTCCAGCTCCAGTGCCTCCAGCTCCAGCTCCTCCAGCTCTAGCACCTCCAGCGCCAGCGTCTCCAGCTCTAGGGTCTCCAGCTCCAGTGCCTCCAGATCCAGCGCCTCCAGCTCCAGCGCCTCCAGCGCCAGCGCCTCCAGCTCCAGGGTCTCAAACTCCAGTGCCTCCAGCTCCAGGGTCTCCAACTCCAGAGCCTCCAACTCCAGCACCTCCAGCTCCAGTGCCTCCAGCTCCAGGGTCTCCAGCTCCAGCGCCTCCAACACCACCCGCTCCAGTAGCTCCAGTACCTCTAGTACGAGCACCTACAGGACCAGAAGCTCCAGCACCTCCAGTACCTCCAGCTCTAGCAGTAACTCCAGCACCTCCAGGACTAGTAGCTCCAGCACCTCCAGCTCCAGCTCCTCCAGCTCTAGCACCTCCAACGCCAGCGCCTCCAGCTCCAGGGTCTCCAGCTCCAGTGCCTCCAGCTCCAGGGTCTCCAGCTCCAGTGCCTCCAGCTCCAACGCCTCCAGCTCCAGCGCCTCCAACTCCAGGGTCTCCAGCTCCAGCTCCTCCAGCTCCAGGGCCTCCAGCGCCAGCGCCTCCAGCTCCTTCGTCTCCAACTCCAGTGCCTCCAGCTCCAGGGTCTCCAGCTCCAGTGCCTCCAACTCCAGCGTCTCCAGCTCTAGTGCCTCCAGCTCTATGGTCTCCAACTCCAGCGCCTCCAACACCACCAGCTCCAGCAGCTCCAGTACCTCTAGTACGAGCACCTACAGGACCAGAAGCTCCAGCACCTCCAGTACCTCCAGCTCTAGCAGTAACTCCAGCACCTCCAGGACTAGTAGCTCCAGCACCTCTAGCTCCAGTGCCTTCAGCGGCAAGGCCTCCGGCTCCTGTAGCACCACTCCTAAGGCGTGTGCGCCGAGCAAACCACTCGCGTAGCTGCCGCGGTGAGAGAGGCTCCCGCCGGCGAGTTTGTTGTGGCGAGGCACCCGCAGGACCTCCGGCAAACGCAGTACCCCTAGGCTAAGCACCCCCAGACTCCGCACCCTCACAATCAGCACCCCCAGGCTCCGCACCCTCAGTCTTGGCAACCCCAGGCTCCGCACCCTCAGGCTCAGCACCCCCAAGCTCCGCACTCGCAAGCTCAGCACCCCCAGGCTCCGCACCCGCAGGCTCAGCACCCCCAGACGCAGCACCCCTAGCAGCACCACCCCCAGCAGCACCAGAGTCTACAGTGACCTCGACAGGCTCAGCCAGGGTGAGTGGATCTACATGAGACACACCTGAGGGAGCAGGACCCTGAGGGGGGAGGGGTCTACCGGAGGGGGACCTGGAGCAAGGAAGAGCGGCGAGGGGGGGAGAGGGGCAGTGCAGTAGGAGAAGAGACGGTAAAAGGGAACTGACTAGTCAAACGTGACGTCCTGAGAGGGCAGGACACGGTGCGAGGTGGGGTGGGTAAAACTGCCAGCCAGGCGCGTCAGGAACAAAGCCAAGGAAGACGCAGGGAATACCGCGGGAGGAGAGCTTTTTCGCGGAAGTATCGCGGACAAAGGCACGAGAGCCCCAGACCCGGAACACCGACGCATCGCCAACCTTCCCCGTCCAACGCAGTGTAGGCGAGGTCTCCGGCAAGGAGACACGGGGCCAGAGGTTGAGCTGATGCGCAGCGTACCGGAACGCAAACGGCCACAAAAAATGGGGAGCAGCCGCATGGATCATGGAGGTACGAGCGACCTCCATGAATAAGCCAATGCGGCGCTCAGCAATCCCATTTTGCTGAGGGGAGGCCCGAAGCGTGAACGACTTGAGAATGCCCCCCCCACGACAAAAGTCCCGCAGAGAACTCACCACCTCTGTCAGAGTGCAGACGCAGGACAGAAAGGTCCGCCCGGAACCGCTCGCAAAGCTGGAGACGGACTGCGCGGATCCAAGGGATCAAGACATTAGGGACCTCACCCTTGCTGCGCAAGGGGAAGACCGTGGTGTAACGCGTGTAGTCGTCAACAACCAGCAGAAAGTAGCGCTCGCAGCCCTGTCCACTGACGCGGGCTGGGCTCCACATGTCCATATGGAGAGTCTGCAAGGGAGCAGTCGTAGGGGGAAACGAGGAGGAGTGAGGAGCGGCGCGCTGCCGCTCCTCAACGCAAGGAAGGGTGGGAGGGGAGGCAGAGACCTGAGAAGACAAGAAACAAGGAGGTAGGAGTGCATGCCACGAAGGTGTGGCAGGGAGGGGTGACCAAGGTGGTGGTGCCAAAGGAGAGTCTGGTGTGATAAGAGGCGACACGAACAGAGGGCGGCTACCTGACCAAATGCGGACACCTGACCAGAAGCAGCTACCTGAGCAGGCTCCATAATCAGCGTGTACAGACTCGACCCAGGCTGACGGGTGAACGTGGCCACGTGACGGCCCGTCCGTGTACACGTGCAGATTGCCACACGCTGA